GAAGGTTTAATATTACCTCCAAGCATGGGCCAAATACTAGCTGCGGGAGGAGAAGATGTTCCACCTCCTGTTTGTGAGCACACCAAAAGTATCTACTTGGCTACTGTGATAAACAAAAATCTGGACTAAGATGTTATTTGGCCTGATCCAGCTATTTTATGTTCTTATGACCACCAAAGAAAACAAAACAAAAAATTTCACAGGGAAATATTTAATGAAAAACTCTACCAGAACTACATGTACCTAATAGCCTTAAATTGGCAGTTTCATTAACCAGTCTAAAAAATCTTCTAAAAATATGTTATCAGAATCAAAAACGCTCCATCAGAACTCACACTAGCTAACACCTGTTTGTTATTATTTTTTAGTAAAATGTAATAAAACTTTGAAAACAACTTGCAAAGAAAGGAAAAATCTGAAAGCACTTTATTATAACATTTCCTGTTTAAAAGTAATGGTGGTTCTCAACACAATATATTTTCTATATTCAAACTCTTAATGAAAGGGAAAGAAAAAAATCTACATAATTTGATAAGCAAAGTTTAAATCTCCTTAAAAGAAGCAGGATACTCACTCTCATTTTCACAAAGTTTTATCCAATGAATACATGGCATTCTCATTTCAAATTTGTAAAATAAACATTTTTTAAAAATAGTCCTTTAAGAATAAAATCTACCTTTTTGTTTCCACTTTTAAAATGCATAATTGTATAAACATGCTGTATCAGAGATAATTGTATACTGGTAGAAGTGTTAAAAAATGTCTTTGGTTTCACCTTATGCATAAGCATTCCAGCTGGTCATTAACTATCTGGAACAGGCCCAACTTTTCTACTGTTATTGATCCATACACATGTACCTTTTCAAAGTTTGCTCTTTCAGAAATTAAATTCACTTTCACATTGTTATATTAGGGGAAAAGCTATTCTAAAAAAAGTATTTCAAAGGTTTGTTGTTTATAAACAATTAATACTTTGCACTTAAATGCAAAATTAACTTACGGTCTAAGACAATCACATTGGTTTCATTATTTGAAGGGATACTTTAGAACAGTGTTTCTCAACCTTGGCAACTTTAAGATGTGTGAATTTCAACTCCCAGAATTCCCTAGCCAGCATGAAATCCACACATCTTAAAGTTGTTAAGATTGAGAAACAATGCTTTAGAACCTACCTTCCGACTATGTTATAATGATACCTGACTTCCAGGCGATTATTAGCAGTAAGTATAAACGACAATCTTGGCACAGTGGCCACAATTTAAGTCTCCACACATCCATTCATTAAAATTAATTTAATGTATGAAAGTAATAGCACTCTATAATCCTTAATTTTTAGAGATGTCAGGATAACAATTATCTGTGTTGAACGCCAACTTTAATGTGTACTGATCACTACTGTACTGCACTATAAAAAATTTGAATCCTCAGTTCAGTTCTTGAAGTGATTCCCATGACAGCTTACATTTGGAGTTATTCCAAAGACAATATAAAGTTTCTGAGAAAAATCACAAGCAGGATCTTAGATTTCTATTTGTAATTTTATTCACAGAATAATACTTAACTATGGAGAATTTAAATGGCTTACAGGCTCCCACTTACTATGATAATAAGATCCTAGTAAAAAGTGCATGTATTAATATAACTTCAAGAAAGACAGTTACGTCAAAGACAAAGATACAGAAAGAAAATACTGCATGATCAAGTGGCCCTACCTTAACATAAACAAACCTGCTTTCCAGCTTTCCGGTGTGTCAACAAACTCAAGCAAGCAGCTCCCTACCCCACCCCACGCCTCCCCCTTGTTCATTGTGAAAAGCAAGAGTACAGCTTGGAGAAGATCATGTATAAACAAAGCAGATCTAATGAATTTCTCATTAAAAAGGAGATCTTATCTTCTAATTAATTGACAAGCTAATTGACCAAAACTCTATAGTAGTTCTAGACTTAGAACCTAGGTGCTACATTACACAGAAGTCTTCACACTCTACATCCCAGTCTCAAATTTGTCAGTTCTGCTTGATTTGTTCAAATAGTGTATTCCACAACAGCTGTTAGAAATAATACATTGGAACAGCTGCTGTGACAGACACAAAGGACCTGGAATTTTAATTGGCTTCAACATTACACTGCTTATTTTCCAAAACTCAAACAGAAAATATCCAAGGAACTGAAAAATGCCTAATAAAACTAAGTGATGTATGCCTTTTTTGCCTTCTGGCAAGTAAGGTTATGTTTTATTCTGGCTGCACAATTTTACTAGCATTGTCTCCCTGAAACGACTGATCACACACAAATAAAGAGGAGGAGGAATCCTCAAGTGCATAAAAAAAAAACAACAAAGAAAAAAAGTAAGGAAATCTCTTTCAAACACTGGCTGAGAGACAAGGAGGATCCTTCAGTGCCTCAAGATGGAATCCAAAGGACAGCTTTTTCAGAAACCCGCTGAATATGCCAACAAACTGTTCCTTCAAAGTATACTGAATTAATTTATTAATTTAATAATTTATTAATTAATCAAATTTGTATGGCTGCCCATCTCACACGAAGCGACTCTGGGCAGCGTACAGCCATCCAGTAAAACAACACATATATAAAACACTCAGTATAAAAATATAAGAATCAATATTAAAAGATAAATAGTATAAAAACAGAATATACAAATCCTAGGCAAAGAGAGAATAAAAACAGCCACCTCAGCAATGGAGCCATCTAAGCATGTTTCTTGTTCCCTGGGAGTTCCAGGCCTGGTGACATAACCAGGTCTTGAGGGACTTCTGAAACGTCAAAAGGGATGGAACTAATCTAATTTCAGGGGGGAGAATGTTCCATAAGGCAGGTGATATGGCAGAGAAGGCCTATCACCTAGGACCCACCAAATGTACATCCCTAGCTGATGGTACCTGCAGTATGCCTTCTCTGACAGATCTAATGGGACAGGCTGATGTAATTGGGGAGCGGTCTCTCAGATAATCCAATCCCATGCCATGAAGGGCTTTAAAGGTTAAAACCAGCACCTCAAATTGGACCCAGAAGCAAACTGGCAACCAGTGCAGCTCACAAAGCAGAGGTGTAACATGCGCTGTTCTAGCAGCACACATGACTGCCCATGCAGGTGCATTCTATACCAGCTGAAGCTTCCAGATACTCTTCAAGGGCAGCCCCATGTAGAGTGAATTACAATAGCCCAATCTGGAGGTGACTAGGGCATGAGTGACCATAAGCAGAGCCACACAATCCAGGAATGGGCACAACTGGCGCACAACATGAAGATGTGCAAAGCCCCTCCTAGCCATGACTGCCACCTGCACATTGAGCAGGAGTCGTGAGTCTAGGAGGGCCCCCAGATTGCACACTGGGTCTGTCTGGGGCAGTGCCACCCCATCCAACATCAAAGATGGCATAGTTCTGGAACCAAAACTCAGAGTCACGCAGTCTTGCCAGGGTTCAGCTGAAGCCTGTTGTTCCCCATCCAGACCCAAACAGCCTCCAGGCACTGGGATAGGACATTCACAGCATCGTGTAATTTGCCAGGGATAGAGATATATAATTGGGTATCATCAGCATACTGATGATACCTCACCCCATGATGACAGATGAACTCACCCAACAGCCTCATGTAGATGTTAGAGGAGAAGAGAAAGCACCAAACCCTGTGGCACCCCACATAGTAGGGGACAAGGGCGGGATCTCTACTCCCCAATTATCACTGACTGGAATCAACTCTGAAGGATTGTGTGCTGCCCACTCCCAATCCTCTGAGCCGATCCAGAAGGACACCATGGTTGATGGTATCGAAAGCTGTCAAGAGGTCAAGTATGGCAAGGATGGATGCACAACCCCCATCCTGCCCATGCCAGAGACCATCCAGAAGAGCAACCAATGCCATTCCTGTCCCATACCTGGGTCCAAATCCTGACTGAAAAGGATCCAGATAATCTGCTTCCTCCAAGACCCTCTGAAGCTGTTGCAAGACCACCTTCTCCACCACCTTCCCCAAGAAAGGAAGGTGTGATACTGGATGAAAATTGTCCAGTATGGTGGGGTCTAGTGATGGTTTCTTGAGGAGGGGGCAACCCAAGTCCTCTTTAAGAGGTAAAGGAACCATCCCCTCACTCAAAGAAGAATTAACCATCACTAAAATCCACTCACACAATACGCAACGGGCCACTTTAACAAGCCAGGAGGGGCATGGATCTAAAGAGCAGGTGGTTGAGCTCACAGTCCTGAGCTCCCTCTCTACTTCAAGTCCAACAGGTTCAAACCATTTCCAGATACTGAAATATACATTAATTCTGCATATTGTAACTGCTGCAAGGATTTATATACTTTTTACTGGAAAGGTCATTTGATTTCCTCTCTGGAAGAATGACTAACCGAGTTGTAGGAGGGTATTTCGAAGTCTAGAACAACTTTGCCCCTTAAAAATAAATATTACATAGAATTCAACTCAAACTGGAAGCTACTTATAGACTATAACTTAATTCACAGATTTATTGCATATCCAAAACTGGGATTTTGTATTGTATATATAGAGAGAGCCTACATTTCAATTTTATAAGGTATTTAAATTGGAAAAGATTCGTAGTAATATAGATTGAATTTTTTATCCTTTACAATTCTGTTCAGTGATTTATACTGTGTTGACCATGGTACTTGATATTTATTCTTAGTTTACAGCTTAATAGTGATTTTTAGTCTTTTAAAGCAATATAATATATTCAATTATTTACAACAAGCTCATGATAAACTGAAAACTATAACCTCATTGACATTTGAAAATGTTTATTCATCTGTATTTTACTTTTTATCCTTTCTTCCAGTCTTTTTAAATGGCTGCTTATGTACTTTCTTTAATGTTGAATAGAAATATAAAAAATTAAATAAACTATAACAAAACTGTTCCTTACGGCCAACCTAGGGCTTTGGGGCTTTGTTCTGGGTTTCTTTATTTCTTTTGGTACAATTGAGGTACAAAGGAGAGTAGAGAAAGAAGTGCTTACTTTCAGCATCTGCACAAAGTAGGAAGCACAGGAGTACTACTGTTGGCCTGGCTATGTGCATCATCTGACAGCTTGGCACCAGCATGCTTTGACAGCTTTGGTCACTGGCTTAGAAGCCACTGCGAGTATCTCCAACCTGAAATTCCAGATGAAGAACTTTCAAAGCCTGAGAGGAGCAAGAAAGAGAGAGAGAAAGAGAGAGACAAACATTCAGAATGTGTTGCTTTTCCCCCTCCAAATACATACACAAAACATACTTTTAACAAGCAAGGTAAAGTGAAGACTCTGGAGACTGAGATTAGCCTTGCAAAATAAATTAAAAACTGCTCATTTTAACAGCATTTACAAAAAGGCCAAAATAAAAATAATCATTTCCCAAGGCATCCTGTAAATCATACTATGATAAATGTGTGCTGCAAAATATTTTCTTTTCTTAGCAACATGAGATTGAGTTATTTCTAATGATGTCCTAGTTTAATACTTAACTGAAATAAAGCATAAGCATCCTTTAAAGTAACATTTAGAAGGAATCAACTTCCAGGACAAAAGCCTGCTAAAAAGCAGTATATCAGAAGGTGATTTCTTTTCATCAAGTAAGAATGACAGAGTCAAAATCTGCTTCAGCTCCTAAAGTGCTATCTGCAAGACTAGGATATTAGCATTTATGGATTAATATAACAATTCCTTCTCTGATTTTGGCATCTTAAAACTCTTCTATCTACCAATTCAAAGTTATGGTTTCTTCTCTGGTTTACCACTACATGTAAATTATGTAATTCACAGATAAATTATGAATAAAGTTCCCATATTCCAGCTCAGTCCGTTTAATTTTATATCTCATATATGAACTAATGAATAATACAGTGTGAACATCTGCCATTAAGGAGAAATAAATTTTGCTCTGGTTTGGCTCTATTAGTAATAAACATGAAAATGTATGCCCCCTTAGAGAAGAGTTTAGCTATATCTCAAAACAGAACTCTTGCACTAATTGTTCCACAATTACAGCTTCTAAACAGTAATAAGAGATACTGTTTGGCAGGGCTGAAACAAGCACAATACAAAGGGGGAAATGTTCTCATAACACAAAAAATATATTCACTACATGCCAAAGAGTGTGTAAGGAATAAACAGTGATAATGACAATGACAACAGCACACCTTATATTCATAAGCAATGTAAAAAACTGTTTCACAGTACAGAACAATATTTTTTTTTAAATCTATCTGAGGAAAGAAAAAGAGAAGCAAATATACTACTATAAAACTCTTTCAAATCCTATTCCTGATTTGACTGTCACTATCAAAAAGCAAACTTAAGAGACATAAGCATTGTACTAAAAGTACTAGCTTTCTGTTTTCTGCTACCCTCTTTGTGCCAGCCTTTCAAGTGACAGCAAAGTCCATGAGACATCATTCCTGTCGGATTCAATTTGTGTCTGGGCAAGCATAGAAGAGGAAACTGCTACAGCAATGACTCCAGTGCTATCACGTAAGATGGAAAAGTGTTTTTGCATGAATTCATCTGATGAAGTGATGACAAAGGATCAAACTATTTCAAGATTCTTATGGCCTTGTGGATAAAAAACTAACTTAATACCAGCAGCACAGTTTTCAAGCTATGGCTTTATAGAATCCGCGTATGCATTAATGAACAAATAAATGGATCAGGAAAATAATGAAGAAGAAAATTGTGAGCTGCATCAAAGACATTTCCAACTAAGTTATTATTCTAACGTAGCAATAGAAAAAGCATTTTGCTCATGTAGTTCAAATGTGCAGTGAGGTTTCTGGTGACAAATGAAAGGAATATAATATAACTTGTGTTCTACCTACTCATCTGACAGATTTCAGTCTCTTGTTTTCAGCTGAATGTATTTAGCTTATACTCAAAACTTGTGGGGAGGGGGAAAGGTGTGCAATCTCACATTCTGAAATGAATGAATTAAAATATTTCTCCCATTTCCCATCTAGAAGACAGCGGCAGACCTAAATATCCTAAATGTTCAGAGTCTGGAAGAGGCAAGAGGAGATACATATTCCTTCCTGGTTAATTTCAGACATCTATCTATCACCCATCCATCCACCCACCCATCAATCTCTCTCAGATGGTAAAGCATCACATGAAAATAAGCACTGTGGTCTCTGACAGAAATACACAGGACCTGCTCTTTGTATTATTTGATGCTTACTTGTGCTCACCAAAGCCCACCTCCCCGCCCCCCTTGTTATGTTGTCTAAACACAAGAGACAGAGAGAAGTAAAGATAGACCACAAAACACAGGAAGGTTTTAACAAATGGCTTCAAAAATTCAACTTGAAAGACTGAAGCTTATATTGCCAAATGTTATACCCAATAGAAGACTAGAAATAAAGAGCAGGAATTCTGTACCTACATAAATGCCTTATTATGCTCAGTCGCCATGCAGACATAAGCCATTAACAGTAGCAAAGTCTTTGGTACTATACCCTTAGTGACATTATTGTTCACATCACACAACCTTGAGTCCTTTGTGATGTGATGTCTTTTTCTCTGCACCCTTTCAGAGTGCTGTAAGTTTAACTAACTAGAAAACATACTAATATGTTCCCTCAGTGACCCTTAGCCTTTTGGGGGAGGGGGGAACCTCTTTCATTGTTTGTATATCTACAGCAAGCATTTAGTATTTTAGGCTGTGAAAATACATGTGTCTGGAACGGATAAATGGTTTTTAAAAATACTGTTAGTGAAGTCATGCGGATGACGGGGCTAGTAACATTGGACAGGCATTAGCTGCCATAGGGGCAAATGCTGTCAAAGTGTTTCACACAAACTCTGCTTCAGTCTTGACCTACAATGTGCTTTAGCCCCAGCCCAACCCCAGCCCAACCGTAGCTCACTGAGGAACAAATAATACTGCTAAATAGTGGTGAATAGGATGCAGGTATTTTCTTTTACTATACTTGCTTTTAAATGAAAATATCTAACTTTAAAAATCACTTTCAGTACACAGCATGTTTTACTCTAAGCTGCTAATAACAAGAAGTTATATTAGACCAATGTGTTTTAGGAGGGAAGGAATTTCTGACCCATTCTTATCTCCTAGAATAGTGTAAAATTTGTGGTGGTGGAGAAATAACACTCAGAATGTAGCATTTTAGGGAAAAAATGTTATTCTTCATGTTGAGGTTCTGACGGCAATGCTTTAATATTTCAGAGCAACCAACAGTGAAGCTGTTTTCAGAAAGACATTGCAAAAGATGCTTTAGAAGCTACAGTGCATTCGGAAAGTATTCAGACCCCCTTCACTTTTTTCAATTTTGTTATGTTG